TAGTTATATACCACAGTCCACAACTCATCTCATTTTTATCAATGTTGGATTCTCTGTATCTTGTAAATGGAACGGCTTCCACACAATAATAAATAAATAATAAATACGTGTTCATGTGGACTAATCCTAACGATACGCTCTTCATGTAAAAAGGGTGCGATCTGTCTCTTAAGTGGACATCACTTACGAGTTACGAGGTCCAAAGCATCACAGGCCTTTTAGGATGCCCATCGTAATGTGGGCTCGCAGATTGCCTCCAGTTTCACATCTTGCATTTCCTCTGTTCCTAGTTTCAAATTGCTAATCGTTCGTTATTGTAAACACTCTATAATGATCCATCCTTTAGCTTATGCTTGTTCATCTTTTACATATGTTTACAATGTGAAAAATTCAGAGCCAAAGTGGAAGCTCTCTTTCTTTGCGTTAATTATTCGAATTTCACTAACCTAGGGACAACACTTTTTTTTTTTTTTTTTTTTTTAATTATTCGAATTTGACCAGCTCGCTTGGTCGAGTAAGGGAATTTCATATATACAATTTTAGAAACAAAGGCCATCAGATTTTTTTAGAAGTAAAAAATAAGAGGAAAATGAAAAATTTGGTTAATTTTATCTCTTAACATATGTTAAGTCATGTGTTATATTTGATTTGGCAAGATAATGGATATAGGTGCAATCTTGTGAATAGATTAAAATGTAGAAGATGTGTAATATGATATGTAGTTCCTGTATCTAAGAGCCATTGCATTGAAGTTTTACCTAGAGTATGAGAGATTTTATCACTTGACATCGTTAGTGGCATGTGTAAATTCTTCATATTTTTCTTTCGGAATTGAGACTTGTTGTTTTCTTGAAAGATGGTTTGATTGGTGAAAATCGATCCGATCCAATGTATTATTTATTTATTATTTTTGAAAGATGGTGACTTGAAATCTTGTTATTTTGTAAACTTAAAATATTGGATGTTATTGATAGAAAACTACCTTGTTTTAGTTTTTTATTGTCTATTAATCTATTTCAACTCTTCAAGAGTTTTAAGACTTGTTTTAGTCTGAAGACTTGAATTTTTCAGTGGTTGTAACTTTGAATGACTTTATTCTGATAAGCTAGTGATGTGTATCGCTGAAATTTTAGACTTTTAACTGAAAATCAATCCAATTCAAACTGAATAAAAATGTATTGGATTGGATTGGATTTATATAGATAAAGCTAAAGAGAATGGATGATTAAACGATCAAACTGAAGAAATTGAATCAGATGATTTTTTGCTTTGAAATCGATCCAATCTAGACCACAAACACCCCTAAATAATGGCAGCATAATATTCATGTTGTGTCGTGATTAATGTTATGAATGGATGATAGAATTGTTTTTTCTTCTTTATAATGAATATTTATAAAATATCTTATATAGTGAAGACAGTAAATAAATAAAAATATAATCTTTTTATATTATTAAATCTATTATTTTGTGAATCGGCTATGCTAAAAAAAGAAACAAAAAGAAACTACGTTAAAGAATGTCTAACCCTATAAACAGATCTAAAATTAGAAAAATACAACCACTTAATTTCAGGGGATCCTGAAAAATAATGAAATCATCTTGATTCAAACTCTCTAATTATTAATTTCAGGGAGATTTAAGCAGATGGCTCCAAGTTAATTTAATGGCTGCAGATGTGTTAGTCAATGATATTCCCTGGATTACTATGTTTTTATAGCATGTTCGCAACTTTGGCAGTGGAGGAATGCTCTGGTGCATGGTCAACGTTCGAATGGTGATTTTTATAAAGGGATTTTTGTTAGTCGGTTGGTTTCTCATGTTATGGAGGCTTATATACAAAATAAAGTAAAGTCAACAATCAGAGGTAGTTCCCAGTGCTTTATTTCGTGGAGTCCACCTGAAGTGGATTGGATTAAAATCAATTCGGATGGAGCTTCGAGAGGCAATCCGGGTATGGCTGCTTGTGGAGGTATTTTTCGTGATTATGCTGGTAATTGGTTAGGAGGTTTCACCTATAATATTGGCTATTGCTCTGCCTTGGTTGCTGAATACTGAGGGTGTCTTGAAAGGATTAGAAACAGCTTGGGCGAGGGGCTGGCGTAATGTGATAGTAGAAAATGTTTCCAGTAATGCTATTGCGGTGCTCACCAAACATGGTGAAGCTGCTTGTGAGTCCCACCTAGTGACTCGGATACGAGCGTGGTTATCAAAGAACTGGTTTGTTCGTTTGCAACATTCTTATAGGGAAGGGAATCACTGTGTGGACTGGCTGGCAAACTTCTCTTTGAATCATCATTCAGTAAACACATTTAGTTATCTTCAAGTTCCTCCCCCTGAGTTTTATAATTTAGTTTTGGCTGATAAGGCTTCTGTGAGCTACTTTCGTAGCTTTGTAACTTAATTCTTGTTTTTTTTGTTGCTGTTTCTGGCTGGGTGTTTTCACCCTTAGCCACACCAAAAAATAAAATAAAATTAAATACATGAAAGATAGCACAAGTATTTTTTTATTTAACTTTCTAATTTATATTTTTTTATCCAAGTCTATTTAATCTAGTTCGACTACCATCGAACCTATATTAGAAGCGACTCTATCAATATTATTTTTTCATTCTCATATCAGGAATTCTTAACCTCAAATTAAGAGGAACAAATTTTTTGTCGCTTGAGCCAATGGCTATTGGTTTCTTATTTGTATTTCTTATATTTAAATTTTGAAATTTATAAGACTTAAGCTTTAATGAGATATCTTCTTTCCCAAAATACCACACATCATATTTTGAGGGAAAAAGATTTGATTGAGGCAAATATTATACCATGTATTTATTAACATTTATCTAAATTGATATCAGTTAATCTTGATTGGTATCAATTAGAATTAGTTTTACGGGAATATAGTTTTTATTCTTAATTGTCTTATATACACATAAAAGAGGTGAGCAGGATCTGCTTATTTTCTTTGCCTCTCTTCTTATTAGTAGGTAACTGGATCCCATCCACTTTTAACTACATGCATAGGATTCCCAAATTAATAGATTTATCACCTTATTTTATAGCCATCAATTTGATATAAATAGAAATTATTCCTTTGTCTTTTAGATCACATCTTATTATATCAATTTATAATATTTTGTCTATTATTCATCTTTTCTCCCTCTATGCCCTAAGCCCCCATAATTTTTTTTAGATTAAATGTTGACATTGATGTTCGAATCTATGACCTTATGTGCAAATTACCCAAACCATGATAATTTTAACATGTACACTAATTTTATTTTATTTTATTTTTGTTATATTTGATGACTTGCACCAATGGTGGAGCCACGTAAGTGTCTGGACCTGGGTTAAATTTTAACAAATTTTACTTATTATATATAATTATATAATTACTTATAATTTGACCCGGATTAAAATTATAATTTGACCCGGGCTAAAATTAAAATATATTTGATGAAGGATATGAGTAGGTTGTATCAAGTTATATGTTCAATTTCAGCTTGTATAAAAAAAAAATTAAAAGTATTTAATAAAATTAAAAAATATTTAATAAAGTTATCACTCTTTGACTCTTTTAATTTATGTTTCATCTTCCCGCTGATGCTCTCTCTTGCCCTGTTCTAACTTCTAAGGTAAGCTCTCTACTCTCACCATGTATTTGGCTTTCCCCCCCCCCCCCCCCTTATTTTCAGCTTTTTTTTCTCTGCCAATGGAGCTAAGCTAAGGCTCTTACCTTTAACCCAACTAGTTTTTAGGAATTTTTGTTCTTTCAATTTTTTTCCCCAACAAAAAGTTCATAGTGGAAAGCACTTTAACGCTGATAATTTAGCGCTGATTCCTCTCTTTCAATTTTTGTTCTATTCTCTGCCAATTTAGCGCTGATAAAGGCACCACTTTCCTTAAAGTGGGAGCAAAAACCTTAGCTGACCATTTATTATTTTATCATTTTATGGCACTGCCCTTTATCATCTTTGCTCTATTTGTTCTTTTTGACTGCGACCCATGGACATTTTGAACAACATATTGATCCATATTAAGCAGTAACAAAGTATATATAATGGATTCGATGATGCTAATTTTTTTTTTTTTTTGTAGGTGTGGGTTTTTTAAAGAGTACTATTTAGTTCTTTTTATTTAGATTTAATGTTAGATCTACCACCAAGACACTTGAATAGAATATTATGTGAATGTAAATGTAATAAAATTTGCTCTTTTGTTTTTGTTTTGGGAGAATTAAATCATCTATTAGTGGACAATAGGCACATGGCAGATATTTTTATTTGCAATTCATCAGCCAAGTTACATGGAGATGGAATTATATAAACTCTTGGTTTAGCTTATTTGTACTTTTTAATATGAACTTGTTATGTTTTCTAGTGAGTTAATTATTGTTTAATTTTAATGATTTAGGTATGTGAAAAGGAAGCATCTTATTGATGTTACTGAAGTGTTTATGGTACTTAATATGCTGAGAAGAAATTTCGGATAGCCAAAATTCTTTTTTACATAATGATGCTCCTTATAATTGTCTTCAGGTTTGTCATATCCTTAAAATAGCATATGCTTATCTATTGTTTTTGGGTTTTACATTCTTACTATCTTCAGGAATCATATTATTATTATTTTACAATTCTAAGTTTGAAGAACTAGATATCCAGTTCACTATTCTAGGATTTTATTAAAAATGTGTAAGAATGAGTTTTTCTTTATAGTATTTAATCTGAGTTATGTTAGTGAAATGTAATTTATATTTTTGTATTCAGTGTGTTTTTTGACACAGATGAGTTTATTTAGTAAATAATTTAGATTTGTATGTTAGAATTCATAATAAATTTTTTCCCTAATAAATTTATGTAATTACGATAAATATTTTGATAATTTAATATGCAAATATTTTTTACCCGGGCTAAATTTAGAACCTGGCTCCGCCACTTACTTGCACATATTACATTTACTAAAAACCCTCGCTCGTATTGAAGATATACGGGCTAGTCACATTGCCTATAATTTATTATTATACGCCCCACTTGCATTTCATCACATTGATACCAGCAAAAAAAACCTACATAATAAAGCTATTATATAGAACGAGTAAAAAGAAGAGCACATGTCAGAGGAGCTACTCAATTAAGACGTAAAGAAAGAGCAACATTTGCATACAAAAGGATTAGCTTAGCACTTGTGTTGGAGTAACTCAATTAGATTTGGATTTTTTCATCTGAAAAAGTGATCATGTGAATGAGTGGGTGTGACCAAATAACATTACCACATAATCACTTTCTCACATTAGATCCAAATCCAAGTCTATTTAGCTCTGTCTGTAATTACATCGAATGCCATCTCGGTTGGATCGGTGGCCTGGAGTTCATAGTGGATTCCATCCAGCGCTCTTCTCAAGCCATCCTTGGAAGTTGCGTATAGCATCTTTGCTCTAATCCTTGATGCTGTTGGTGACCTGAACATTCAATTCAATTCATTTAGTCTATAAAGATAAAATCAAATCAACCCCCTCCCGGGTCCTCTCCTTTGAAATCATCATACAATTGCACCAAAAATGAACTTCTAATTTAATACAAAAAAAAAAAATTGGTAGTTGCACATTGTTGAACCATTTTCACTCCCATAATGTAAAACATTATTACTATAATTATTAGGGTCATAATTGAAATAGGGGCCACCTGACACTGGATACGTTTGCTTGTCCGCAAAACCACGAATCAACAATAGGTATGATAATTTAAAAATGACAGGTGTAAAAAAGGGGGTTAAAATAGTAATTATAAAAATCAGATCAAATAATAAATTATAGAGATTTGAGGAAAATGATAGAGTGGAGTGAGGGACCATGCAATGAAGAAGATCTTGCTCTTGCGGCAGTTATCAACGGTGACGAAGTCGAAATCGAAGACAGCGTATCGGCAATCATCGGTGGGCAATGAGGCGGCGAGATCAGCATAGCCCTCGGCGGGGCCACCGAGTTTATCGACGGTGACAAGCCTTGATCTTTCGTCGATCTTGAAGACTATGTATCTGTGGACCTTCTTCCACTTCATATCCATGAAGGAGTTCTTGCACTCATCGGTCACCCACATTCCAGTAGTAGCCTGTCAGTGACAGTGTTAAGTAACAACCCCAAAATTAAATCAATAAAGATAATCTAACAGACAGAAAGCACAAAGTAGAGAGTAAGAGTACCTACCATCTTGAAAGCCATCGCCATTGTTTTCGAAATTTCTCTAATATCAATGGTTGGTCTTAATCTGGGGGATGGGGATGTGAGCTACACTTGCCTCTATCTATATATAAAATTTCGGTCGCTCAAATGCCATCCATATTCCCTCCTATTTACACTTTTGTCCTACATTTACACTTATTTGTACATTTTTTGTTTTATATTTACGTCGTGATTAATATGCCTTATATTATATATATAGGAATTGTTGATGTCACTTAACACGAGATAAATTTATTTTCTTACACTCACATGTATAGAAAAGAGAATAGAGGAGAGAAAAAAATGAATAAATGGATCACATCACTCAATGTGTAAGTGTAGAAAAATAAGTTTATCTCATATTAAATTAGAAAACAATTATCCTATATATATGGAAATAGTTCTCTTATTTTACATAAGAAAATTTCCTCATGTTACACTCACAATTAAAAGGTGGGATCCAACTTGATTTTTTTGTACTCATGTATCATGTATACAACACGAGAAAATATTCTCATGTAAAATGAAAAAATTATTCCCCACACACACACACATATATATATATATATAGTTTTTGTAAAGAACCTTGGGATACACCACCCAAAAGCTAGCTCAAAGGGTGGGAGTGTCCAAGGCCTTATAAAGGCCACATTAGTTGCACATACAACCAATGTGGGACTATATATCTCAACACGCCCCATCACACAAGAGCCCCTTTGGGCTTGAAGCGTGGACAATGCAACAGGCCCAATCTACCTGTGCTAAGAAACTCCACAAGAGAAAGTGGGGGACTGCGAGGCTCTGATAGCATGTAAAGAACCTCGGGATACACCACCCCAAAAGCTAGCTCAAAGGGTGAGAGTGTCCAAGGCCTTATAAAGGCCAAATTAGTTGCACATACAATCAATGTGGGACTATATATCTCAACAGTTTTAATGTTTTTAAAGTGAATGTAGATAAGTTATCTACATTATAACCCTGAAATAAATTATAATTATAAAATTACATTGATTTCCGCCTTAAAACAACGTTGTTTTGGGCTCAATGTAAATAAGTTATCAACATTAACCGTAGAAAAAGGAACCCCTATATATATATATATATATATATATATATATATATATATATATATATATATAGGATCTTTTGATACCAGTGTCAAATTTGAAGTTGATATATATGTAGGATCTTTTGACACCAATGTCAAATCTGAAGTTTGACACCTCATCTGATAGTCGTTAGATCAAAAAAGATCAACGACTCTGATTTGTAAGCATGTGACACCATTGATCTTTTTTGATCTAACGGCTATCAGACGAGGTGTCAAAGGATCCTACCTATATATATATATATATATATATATATATATATATATATATATATATATATATATATTTGGGGCAAGATACTTTGACACCGGAACCAAACTTTAAAATTTGACACCAAATCTTAACCGTTGATTTTCGTCAGTCAGCTTTTATCATATATTGGGAATCAAACTTATTAATTATGATTCAATTTCTCTGGTTGCTGGACGTCCAGCAATACATCTCACACTGTTGATTAATTATTATTTCTCGCATTTACCTTTCTCCAACCGCTTGACGTCAAACAAACAAATTCGAGAAATCACACACACACATATATATAGGTCAAGTCATTTTTTTTTTTTGATAACATTAGGTCAAGTCATTTTATACTATGTAAATTATATTTTTAATTTTTATCATTGATTTTATTACATCTCATGATTATAATTTATCAGATATGTAAGCAGCTAGATAAAAGCAGTGTTTAAAAACTTGGCCCGACCTTGGACTCGGTCGAGGTCAGAGATCACAGGGTTATGGGTTCAACCGGGGAGTCATGAAATCACTTCGCTGATCCAATTTTATATATTAAAAAATATAAATATATATCATATATGAAAAATTCAAAAAATAAAACCACCAACATCAAAGATTTAAAATATACTTAACATAATTAAACCGATTACATTCACAAGTCAAGATTACACCAGCTAATGAAAGTATTAAACTATCAAAGTATAAAACACATATTTCAATAAAGTTAATAAAAAGTTATATCATCATATTCAAACCCTTAAATTCCTTCTCACGCACCTACGACACGACGAATCAATGGTAGGGAGAAAAGAACCAGCAAGGCGGAGGAGAGGGCGAGAGAAGACCGAAGATGATAGAAGGAACCACCACCACGACGGAGGAGATAACGGAATCAGGGTGACTGGGTATGGGTCTGGGAGAGAAGATCGAAAGAAAAGAAGAAGAACGATCTAGATTCCAGATCTAGTTATAGATCTAGGTAGCAGCGACGAGTTTTTGTTTTGCTTTTGTTTTTTTTATACATCAAATAACGTCTTTTAGTATGTAATTTTTTTTAAAAGAAATGTAGTAACCCCCTCTGACTCGGGAGTCACGAGTTTAATCGGGGGTTCCAGGAGTTAGAAGAATTAATGTGTATGTAGGATTTAACTACTGACCTCAACCCTAAGAGAGAGGGAGTCAGTGACCCAGGGAGGTCGACTTTAAAGTGAGGCGGAGTTTTAAATTATTGGATAAAAACAAATCAATGAATAAGATTTAGTATAAGATATTTTATTTTTGTATTGGTATAAGAATAAGATATGTGTATATATCGGCTGAAATGATTCAATTTAGACTTCTAAATAAAATATCAACTATTTAATGGGGGGAAATGTCAGGCAATAAAAATTAACTCAACTAAAAGATTTTTGAGTTTAATTTTTTGAAATAATCTTTTATTGATAAATCATTTGGACTATTTTCATAATATAGCAAGTCCCACGTGAATATAACAAATAGACTTTTTTATATCATATTTCCTTGAGCTTAAGTTTAATGTTATACTTATACCAGCGCAAATTGTTTTCAATCACATCATCCATATTTTACATTAACATCTCACTTTATAAATTTCTATAAAATTAAACTCACAAAAATGATAAAATAATAAATCATTCAGCGTCAGTCTATTTTTTTTTCCAGATAAACAATATATCATTTTTTTTCACTTTAGCAATAAATTGTTATAGCAAACACCGCCGTATATTATTACTTTCCGGGAATATAGACTTGTATTCTATGTAAGAAATTTATATAATTGAGGTTAAATGACTAATATATTTTTATAATTTTAGTTAAATTTTTAAATAGATTTTAATAATTCAAAAAAATTTATATCTATATAAGTTATATTCTCCATCTTTGTCATTGATTTCATCTATATTTAACGGGTTATATGAATAATAAATCAGAGTCAATAGATATAAGAAGATCAATTTTTAAGATTGAGTACAAAATTTGTTATTTTTAAACCGATTATATATAATATATTGTTATAAATTGTTCTTATTTTATTTTCATTTCGTAAATATTCTAATTAAATCCTTAAATTTTCATGAATTCATCATTCGACTTCTTCAATAAATTTGTATCGTTTATCTAATCAATGTAAAAAAAAAGAGAGCTACGAATATTTGAAAAAATCAAATAAATATTAATTGAATATAATTACAATATGTAGATATATTTACAGTGTCAAAGTCGGTAGTGTAACTCTTCAATCTTCATGGAGGGTATGAAAACTAGACACGTGTGAAAAATATTTTTATTTATAAATTTTTATTTACAAACTTTTATAGATTACACTGTATATTTTGAGAATATATTCTAAAGTGAATATAATTCTCAGAACATATAGTGTAATCTGTAAGAATTTGTAAATAAAAATGTATAAACATAACCTCCCAAAAAGCATACATAAATTTATTATTTCATTTTTTTATTACTGTTAAAAGAAAAGAATTATACACTAAAAGAATAAAGTCACCAGAAATTATAGTAAACAGCCAGCACCATTCAACAATCTTGGTAGTAGAAAAATACACCATTCATTTTTAACACAAAAACCTCATAGATATTAGCGGTAGGAGGCTAAACCATGGAGCCATCTCGGATCACACACCCGCATAACACTCTTTCTATTTGTGTTACTGAAAAGTAACTAAAAAGTCTTTGCGTGGTTTATCAAAAAAAAAAAAAAGTCTTTGCGTGAAAGTAAAGCAGAGAAAAGGGTAAAACAAAAAAGAAAAGAAAGCTGATTCTCAGTACATGTACGTTTCCCCAATTACTGTGCATCTCCCTTGCCCTCTTGGGCATCATTTGTTTGGTGGCTGAGTTTTTGAACTTCGAGACTTCATGGTCCAAGGGCTGGAGTTTTCCCACACAAATGTTTAAGAAAATCGAGAAGTCTCTCGTGTAAAAAAAATTGATCATGTTATTTGATCATAATCATTTATTGATGATGAGATAAGAGAAAAAAAAATATATAACATTTAAATAAATAATTGTGATCAAATAACATGACCACATGATATTTTTTTTTTACATGAGAAGATTGATTTAAAAAAAACCAAATAGATAAACCGAATACAGCAACTAATGTCAGCACTTTGAACTAGCACTTCGTTTGGTAGACGAGAATTTGGAAATCTCGATTTTTAAAAATATAATAAAAACATTCAGTTTACGATAACATTCGAAAATTAAAAATTTAAAAAAATTTAATTTTTTAAGAATCCTACAAAATATTTTGTACCAGACGCCCAGTAGTGAATATCATGATATGATCGATGGAAGGCGTTTTTACATATTTAAGGGTAATAAATATGGAAATGCATAAATATGGATATGGTGAAAATGGGTGAGCTTCATTAAATTTTTTCTTTCTTCTCTTCACAGCGTGGGATTCACTTAATTTTATAGGAGTTGACAGACAAAATATTTTTTGCAACAACAATAGAAAAGTTAAACCCAATAAATATAATAACTTAAGTTTATTTCAAAATTATTTTCGTATTACCATTCAATTGATCTATTCTAATTTAATTTGAATTGATTTGGACTAGATTTATTTATTTATTTTTTGTTACAAATATTTTAACAAATAAATTCATCAAAATATAAAAACCTAAAATATGATTTTAATGGGAATCATAAAATATATGTCCAAATTTGTAAATTTAAATCCAAAAGCTAATATAACCCACATTTTTTTTTTCTCTATTTCTTCAGTTTTTCATTTTTCGTCTCGGTTTTTTCAATTTTAATTGGATTGGCATGAGTGTGTGAACACCCCTAATTGCTAAAATAAAAAATAAATAAAAATCACAATAAGTCAATATAAGAGAGGAGAAATCGAGACTACGGACACAAAAATCCAGGGAAATAGCCAGCAAGCAGCAAGGGAAGGTATATGAAGGTGAATGGGGAGGCATGTCCATCAAATGGTTGGCCCGCTCCATCCAAGCGGAACGCATTCCTTTATACAAGGGAGCAGGTCACAAAATCAAAGTGTATTTATACAAAAATGAAAACGAAGTAAAATTAGTTATAATCAAATGATAAAAACTGCGCAAATATATAGTGATATGTGCATAAATGTGTCTAGCATTGTTCCTAATTACAACCCAAGATTTTTTATTCGTAAATGTGTCCGTACCTTGGGATAGACCACTAGAATTTCCCATGTATAGTAAGTACATTAGTATTTTACGAGAGCTTATTCTGCGTGGAAGTGCACAATTTTGTGGTGCATATTAATTTTCCTTCACGGAGTTGACAAAAAGGCATATATGTATAGTGACTTATTTTTTGGTCCTTGTTTGATTAAGTGTATATCTGGCTTGTCCATCTTTGGCATTGATCAGGGTCTAACCCTTTTCTCCATAAGAGATCTTATCATTATTGTCTACACGCAATGAGAACAGAGAAGCAAGTTTCATTTGGCAAACTAGAGGTAGAAAACGCAGCATACATATGATCATATGCCATATTCTGATTCAGAATGATCTTTAGATCTAATACCTCAGAAGAGGCATATTAAGTACCAGGCAGGCTAGAGTTAAGTCAACTTCGGACCCTTGAAGAGTCATATTAGTTCGATTCTTGTGGCTAATTATGCTGTGCTAGAAGGAAGAAGCGCATCAAGACTGTAATTATGCTGTGGTTAATTCTTGTAGCCAATTTTAGGGCATGGACCACACAATAGAACAATAGCAAGCCGAAACCTTGAAGCAATTGCCACAGAACACTCAATGGCCCTGTCATTACAGCTAGTCGACCACCAGACATCTCTTCATTAATTATATTCATTGATTCCTTCCGCTTGTACAAGACTAGGCTTCAAACTGTAAGTTTAGATATATCATGCAGTGATCGGCATCTTTAGGTACCGTACATTCACTGAATTTAGAAATAAATGGACTGTTGTTCCAAAAAAGAAGAAGAAATAAGTGGACTGAATAAAGAAGTGGGTGGATCTAATCTATTTTAATTTCTTTCCCTTTCCCTACAAAATAAAGCTTTGTGTTAATCTAAGCTGTGAACTATAATACACAAAACTAATCAAAATATTAAAAAAGACGAAGAAGAAAAAAAATGCGCACAAGACTTTCATCTGGGGGAGCGGGGAGAACTGACTAGTGAGATTTCCTAGACATCTTACACAGGAAATTTAATATAAAACAGATATCAAAACATATTTTTAACTCAAGGAATACTTTGTTGTCATCGTAACAAGGAAGTTCATATTTCCTCATCCCACTGGCTCTTGGGTATCTCTCCAGAGTCTGCAATCACTACCTTCTTTCTGGGTTTCGCACTGTAGGTTCCAGCACCCCCTTCAATTGCAAACACAGTATCCATGCCTTCAACAACCTTGCCGAAGGCAACATGGTCTCTATCCAACCTGGAAAGTTTACATGTGAACTGATATCAAATTATCATAATTATAGGCATTGGCACAACGAGCATATAATTTGTAAAAAAGAACAAATTCAAAATTATGTAGTTTCTACATGCAAGATTATCAACTAGTATTTGGCCGAATTCCACTAAAATAAAGTAAAACAATTTTGGCAGCCTCAAATAAAACTGTTCACAACATAACAATCTAACTGCTTCTGGTCCCTTTTCTGCAGGCAAGAAGCATAACCATTTTTTTTTGTTTAGGGGAGAGAGGAGAAGAAAGCACAGAAGAGCTTAGATGGTCTGAAATGATACAGGAAATAGCCTATACCATGAACTGACAGGACAAGAAGATTTGCCTGGGAACCACAGTTTAAGGGCATAGCAGAATACTTACCAGCTGGCCTTCACTGTGGTGATAAAAAACTGTGAGCCATTGGAATCAGGACCTGAATTCACCAGAGACAACACACCTGCAACCATGGAGTAAATTTACAAGGAAACAACTCAAACGTACACCTCTAAATGGAGAAAGCTATCAAGTTCAAAAAATGAAGAAAAAAAAAGTTCTAATAAAGTGACATGCTTGCGACCAAGCAAATAATGTTACAGACCAGCATGTGAATGTTTTATCTTGAAATTCTCGTCAGGAAAGGTGCCACCATAAACAGATTCAAATCCTCTTCCAACGTAATGAACAATGTCTCCACCCTGAATCACGAAACCAGATATTATCCGATGAAATGGTGTTCCTTTGTAATGAAGTTTTATTTCATAGGCACTCTTTCCTTTCTCCCCTACACAGCATGCAACACTCAAAATCAGTACGAGGACAAAATGGAGATTAAATTCACAAAACAACATAAAGAAAAGACACCAAGTACCTGTGCATAATGCTCTAAAATTTTCTGCAGATAGAAAGTTTTCAATCATTAAAAAATTGCAATGCGCAGGGATAGCATAAGCATTATTTATGTAGATGACATCATATCCAATGAAGTAGCTTCATTGGGCAGATTTAAGTTTGAATTTACTGAAAAGACTGAAGTCTAGCCACCCTGCATAAAGGGCGACAAAAAGGAACAACTAACAAACTTTACGATTTCTACTAAAAGGGAACTTTACACTCTTGTACTTGAAGCAATAAAGTACGTCATAGACCAAAGAAGTTGGAATAGGAAATCAATGGCATACCCATAGTTTTTGGTACAACTTGGCCATATAATCCAGTCACGATCCTACCTGCAGAAATTATAATATACGGCACATGATAAGTTGTTGCTCTTAACTGCCTACATCCTCCTCCTAATAAAAACAAATGTAGTAAATCAAACTGATTCAAATGAGAACAGTTGGTTAAAATTTCTAAAAAAAGTGCTGCAAACCTAAACGGTGTCCGTCAATATCAACATCCAAGAATACTCTCTGTGTAATTTCAGGCTGTTCTTCTTTCTCCTCTGGCTACATCAGAAAAGACGAAATTTTACTATTGACAAAACACAATAAATAAAGATGGGAATTGTAACTGGAAAAAAATAAACTAATGAACAAACCATCAATATTTCTCTTAATAAAAGTGTAGAGACACAAAGGGACGAAACCAGGTTATGGAGATAAAGGCATATGTCTCAACAGGCTTGTTAGTTTTGTGACTTCTATCTATTATTATATTATTAGTTTACTAATTTGGCCCCAAATTTTTTTAAAATTTTCCCCCACTCAAGAAGTTTATTGAGTAATTTTGATGTCACTAACTTTTTCCATTTAAAGGATAGGTACAAATTCAACCACAAACGAAACCAACTTCTGTCCCACGGGAGCAATCATCAAGCTATCTCCCCAAATTCCCAACTCCTATCTTCATTGCCTCCGCTACTAAAAATTTCTGGGTCTGTCACTGCAAACACATAATATGGTGGAGGAAAGAACTTCCTTTATATTTAGAAGTTCAGAACACATCAAGAACCAACTCTACTTAAAGTTTAAGCTAAAAGCTCATGAATATATCTCTAACAAATTTCTTAACATGAGTCTTTTGGACTTAAAGCATGGCATGTCCATTCTACTTTGTGCTGAATTTTTTTTTTTTTTTTTATCTGAAGAATGAGAAAGGGAAGAATCGAACTTTTACCCACCTGATCAAAGAGGTTTCAATATCAAATCAAGGACCAACTCTAACACGTCCCATCACACAATAGTCCTTTAGGATTGAAATGCGGACATATACTGTTGCAATCCCTAGTTTTCAGCATCTAGAATGTTTTATTTTTCCTCCTTAATCTTAGGAGTTTGTTTCGTTATTTGTTATTTAAATTCCTAGGATTAGTTTGTTTATGATATTTTTCCTGTTTAGTTAAAATAGGATTCAGTTTTCTAGTTTTATCTCTTTCCCTGATTATAGGGATTTGTTGCACTGGAATATTTCTGGTGTCTATTTATTGTACGTTTTTTTTTCTTTTAGTTTTAATGGAAAAACTGGTTCCATCATTCAAACTTTCTATATGGTATCAGAGCTTGATTTTTAAGGGACTGATCCACCCATGGCTACCAATGTGCCACTCTTTGGCACCATGAGAGCCTACCAAACTACTTCTTCCAATACCACCGGTACAAATACCACTCCAACAACAACCCCACTCAATGTTTCAGCATCAAACCAAACCAACAACAACTCAGCAGCTGTCATTACCAACGATAGTCCAGCATTAGTCATCACTGGTCATCGATTCAATGGAGACAATTATTTGTTGTGGTCACGCAGCGTTCGTATGTTCATTGGAGGCCGTGGCAAGGGAGATCATCTCACCGGTACGGGTGATGCTGCTCCTCTGGAAACCAGTCATCCACAATACAAGAAGTGGTCCATTGAAAATAACCTTGTGATGTCTTGGTTGCTGAATTCCATGGTGCCTGAAATAGCTGAAACATACATGTTGTGCTCCACAGCCAAGGAAATTTGGGATGGCGTGAAGGAAGCCTTCTCTAAGGAAGATAACACAGCTGCCTTGTTTCACATCAAGGGGATTCTTCGTGATCTCAAACAGGAGGACAAGGATGTCACCAGCTATTATAATTCACTCCTAAAATTCTGGCAACAATTGGATCTTTATGATCAACATGAATGGACTACTCCAGCCGATACTCTTCAGTATAAGAAAATTGTTGAACAAGACCGCACCTACAACCTTCTTTTGGGACTCAATCCAATCTATGATGGAGCTCGCAGCCGCATCATGGCCACTCGCCCTCTGCCATCCTTGCGAGAAGTTTTTTCTGAATTAAAGTGGGAAGAAAGCCGCAAAGTTTTGACCAATAGCATCCCAAAAGTTGATGCACCTTTGGAAGCAGCAGCCTTTGTCTCTAGACCCAACAATGCAGACTCCAGACCTAGGCGAAATGGTAAGCTCTGGTGTGACCATTGCAACAGAACTGGGCATATTCGGGATACATGCTGGAAAATCCATGGCAAGCCAGCTGATTGGAAGCCAAGACAAAACAGAGACTTTAATCATGTTGCTGCAGTTGTAGAAGATGTTCCGCAAGCAAAATCCGAAGGCCATACATTTACAAGGGAACAAGTGATAGCCATACAACGCATGCTGCAAGATTGCAATAAGGACAAATCTAATCCCTCATCTGATAGTCATCAATCAGGTACATTCCATACAGCTCTCCAATCCGATCTTGATAAATGTGATTCCTGGATGGTAGATTCTGGGGCTACAGATCATATGACTGGTAATTCCTCTCTTCTTTCTGAATACTTTCCCATTTTCGAGGCAAAATCAGTAAAAACAGCAAATGGAGGCTTAGCCAAGGTTCACGGAATTGGTGTTGTTCACCTATCGTCAACCATATCTTTAACTGGAGTTCTCTACGTTCCATCTCTTACCTGCAATTTAATTTCTATTACCAAATTGACCAAGGATTTAAAGTGCACAGTCAAATTTACCCACGTTGATTGTATTTTTCAAGATTTGGCATCGGGGAGGACGATTGGCAGTGCTAGGGTCTCTAATGGTTTATATCAACTTTACACAGCCGCGGTTATGAAGACTCAAGACAGCACATTTGCAGCAACTAGCAATTTGAATAAGGCTCTTTTATGGCATTTTAGATTAGGGCATCCAAACTTTCAATATATGAAAAAGATGTACCCTTCTTTATTTAATGAGAATTCGAATTTTCCTTCATGTGATATATGTCAACTTGCAAAACAAACTCGGTCTCATTATCCCTTACAAATGCATGTTCCTTCTAAACCATTTGCCATTATCCACAGTGATGTGTGGGGACCTGCAACTGTTAAAAGCCTTACGGGTGCTCGTTGGTTTGTCACATTTATTGATGATCATACTCGAATGACATGGGTGTACCTATTAGCCAATAAATCTGAAGTCACATCCACCTTTAAAGTCTTTCACAAAATGATCCTTGCCCAATTTCAAACCCAAATCCTTACCCTTAGATCTGACAATGCACGTGATTATTTTAACTTGGACCTTTCAGCTTACCTAAAAGACCATGGCATCATCCACCAGAGCTCTTGTGTCAATACCCCACAACAAAACGGTGTATCTGAGAGAAAAAATCGCCATTTACTTGAAGTTGCTCGTAGCCTACTCTTTGCCTCAAATACATCCAAAAATTATTGGGGGGAAGCTATTCTTACAGCCACTTACCTTATCAACCGCATGCCATCTCGGGTATTACACTTCTCCTCACCTTACCAAACACTCCTCACTGCATTCCCTTCATTTACCTTAACCCCAAATCTCCCACCAAAAATTTTTGGTTGCACCGTGTTCATTCATAACTCTCAAGGTGGTAAATTGGATCCTCGGGCTCTTAAGGGCATCTTTCTTGGCTATTCCCCTACTCAGAAGGGGTATAAATGCTTCAGTCCAGCCACACATCGATTCTACATTACTAAAGATGTCACCTTTTTTGAACATCAGCCTTATTTTTCCCAAACCGCCATTCAGGGGGAGATCCCTAATTCCAAGGAATGGTTGTTTGTGACTAATACTCCAGAAAACTCTGCTTCAACAGCCCCTACACCGGTCTTAGGTGAATCTCAGGAAAATGACACTTCATCTAATGGCTTATCCTCTTCCGGCCCGCTCCAGAAACCGCCTGAACAGCAGCCCCTGCAAGTCTACACGCGACGGCCCAAATACAGAACAGCTTCTGAGATGCTTGAACATGTTGACAAACAGATTACCTTGGCTCCTGGTCCAACTGAAGAAACCATTAGTCCTGCACTTGACCAAACTGAATCCTTGCTGCCAAGTTCTGATGATGCTCTGCACATGCCAATTGCACTTCGTAAGGGGGTAAGGACATGTACAAGTCATTCCATCTGTAATTTTATATCCTATGCTAATCTTTCCTCCAGGATGCAACATCTAGTCAAGAACATTGACAAGGAAACCATTCCTACATCCTACTTTGAGGCATCTAAGACTACTGAATGGTGTTCTGCTATCCAGGATGAATTGCATGCACTCAAAAAAAATGGCACTTGGGAGATAGTTACCTTACCACAAGGAAAATCAGTGGTTGGCTGTAAGTGGATTTTTACCATCAAATATAATGAAGATGGGAGTATTAATCGCCATAAAGCAAGACTTGTGGCCAAAGGATTCACTCAGACACAGGGCATTGATTACCAGGAAACCTTTGCTCCAGTAGCAAAATTTAATTCAATTAAAATTCTTTTGTCCATTGCTGCTTGCCTAGATTGGCCCCTTTGGCAAATGGATGTGAAGAATGCATTCTTAAATGGTGACTTAGAAGAAGAGGTTTACATGGAAATTCCCCAAGGAGTGGAAGATGGTCAAGGATCTCGAAAGGTATGTAGATTATTAAAATCCCTTTATGGTTTGAAGCAATCTCCAAGGGCTTGGTTTGATAAGTTTACTGCAGTTGTCAAAAATCAAGGGTACTCCCAATGTCAAACTGATCATACTATGTTTGTTAAAACTGCACCTCATCAGAAAATTACAATATTAATTGTCTATGTTGATGATATTGTGATTACTGGTAATTGGGAGGATGAGATAAAGCAATTAAAGGAGACGTTAGCTCACAAATTTGAGGTCAAGGACCTTGGAAAATTACGATATTTTCTTGGAATGGAAGTGGCAAGAACTAAGGAAGGAATTTCAGTTTCTCAAAGAAAATATACTCTTGATCTGCTGAATGAAACAGGGATGTTGGGATGTAAACCTTCTGATACACCAATGGAGGCGAACTACAAGATAGGACTCAAACAAGAATGTGCTTCGGTAGACACTGAGAGATATCAAAGACTAGTTGGAAAACTCATTTATTTAGCCCACACTAGGCCTGATATTAGTTTCCCTGTGAGTGTGGTCAGTCAATTTATGAACAGCCCAAATGAAGAGCACTTGGAAGCCGTCTACAGAATCCTACGATACTTAAAGATGACTCCTGGTAAAGGATTGTTCTTCAAGAAAAATTCCAGCCGTGATATTGTGATTTACACGGACGCTGATTGGGCAGGATCCATTATCGATCGAAGATCAACCACAGGCTATTGCTCATATGTGTGGGGAAATTTGGTCACTTGGAGGAGTAAAAAACAGTCTGTGGTAGCCAGAAGCAGTGCTGAAGCCGAATACAGGGCATTGTCCTTAGGCACTTGTGAGGGAATGTGGATTTTAAGAGTCCTAAAGGAGCTACACCTCGAATACAAGGATCCTATGAAGATTTTCTGTGATAACATGGCCACCATTGGAATTGTCAATAATCCAATCCATCATGACCGTACCAAGCATGTTGAACTTGATAGAAATTTCATCAAGGAAAAAATTGATGCAAATATTATTGATCTAAGTCACATTTCCACAGGGTCCCAGATTGCTGATATCTTAACCAAGTCTTTATCAAGAATTAAATTTGAAGGACTAATTTCCAAGCTGGGAATGCTGGACATCTACCACCCAGCTTGAGGGGGAGTGTTGCAATCCCTAGTTTTCAGCATCTAGAATGTTTTATTTTTCCTCCTTAATCTTAGGAGTTTGTTTCGTTATTTGTTATTTAAATTCCTAGGATTAGTTTGTTTATGATATTTTTCCTGTTTAGTTAAAATAGGATTCAGTTTTCTAGTTTTATCTCTTTCCCTGATTATAGGGATTTGTTGCACTGGAATATTTCTGGTGTCTATTTATTGTACGTTTTTTTTTCTTTTAGTTTTAATGGAAAAACTGGTTCCATCATTCAAACTTTCTATATATACAAGCTTACTCTACCTAATACTAAAATTTCATTTTTATTAGAAGAATGACAGCATCTAGAATCGATCTCCTCACCACATGATCAAGTGTCAAAAAGGCTCTGATACCATATGACCAACTCTCTTAAAAGCTTAAACTTTTAGTTGAAGGCTCCTGAATGACTTCAGTATAACTCTAACATGAGCTTTATCTAGTTTAGGCCTCTGATTACAACTAACAGATTTATTTGGGACATTCCAAAGAGTAAGAAGTACCCATAACCAGTTGGAAAATAAAAGGGACGAATGATAAACCAACATGAGGGATTAATTCCAGCATATGTCTCTTTCTCTCTGAGACTCAAATTAAAAAATGAAAGATTAAAGATAACTCTTCCAACATTGATTAACGCTAAGTATAGTTTCTTTCCTTCTTAATGGAAGATATCAGACTACAAATTTACAAAAACCAAATTCAGAACTTCCTTGGTTGGTGGTAAATAACAAGCAAAAGAAGCAAAACATGAACCTCAACTTCTATGTTACCACCCCACCAAATAAATAATTATTCATAAGAGTCATATCCAAGATACAAGAACACATGCTAGAACCAAACTCCATATATTCCTTAAGACTCCATACTCCATAGCCACAGAGGTAGATTAAATAATAGAAAGTACTAAGTATACCAGAAGGTTCTCATCCTGGGTATTACTTATCTATCTAATCTCCAATTTAATAAACTATGTAAACCAAGTATAACTTTATGGTATATAAGTCGTTGTACAACTTTACGCATAGTTACCACTTACAAAATTACTTCAGCACGCAACGGCGATTAAGATACTTCTGTAAACTACCAAGCAATCAAAGGCATTCTCATATATAAAAAAGAATAACTATTCTAGTGCGTTATTTAAGAATTTCCTTTCTTGCAGATATGTCCCAAAGTCCCCTTCTTTTACCGCTTATCCAAATGAGTACGTATTCTTTGCTAAGTTAATATTTTATGCAGGTATCTCCCTCATCACAGCTTCTCAATCTGAGGATTCAACTTGCCCACATATCCTTACCCCCACCGTCAGTCCAGTGGCCATCATAAGATCATCCCCATCCGCCAAGGTAGTCAAACAATTTGCCAAATAAAGAAAGGGAAGGATTATAGTGGAAAGGGAGGCAACAACACAACCTTCAGTAAAGAGTTACAACCATTATCCCAGGAAGTTTAAAAATAGTCAAGAAAGCCATACTACAACACAAAAGCTCACACCTTGATTGCATTTGCATCATATCAGAAAGTGGAAGTAAAGAAAGAAAGGAAATGAATTTCACCTAAAACTATTGGAATCGAACATTAAGATCAGTGAAATCAAATTTAAACGGAACCCCATCAAACTCATAGTACTATATTCAATGACAGATGACAGATCAAACAATTTGCTCGAAATCCAGTTCAATTATCCGAATCAGATTTATAGTGCCAAGAGTAAACAAACAAAAAAGATATACCCGTTTGGAGCCAGATAATGCGAGAATAAGGAAAATTGAGAGAACAACGAAGAGAAGCAGACATCGCGGCTGAACAAGGAACGAGATCTCTCTACGCATTGCTTCAATGCCCACTATGCTGAGTTACATCTAATCACCAAAAAATCGAAACTATGTAATCCTCCATGGTATAGAGCTTACTGGGTTTGTCTCGGAAACGCTCCAGTTGCAGTAAAGATGTCGCAAAGGACACAATTGTACAATACAGATAGAATTAATAAATAAAAATTAATCGATTTTAAAATCAGAGCATAATGCAAACCAACCCATGTGGATTGCAGATTAATGAAATGAACTACACACTTTTTTTTGTGTTTCCATAAGATGCTGGTTTTGTTAAACTGTAAACGGTCTACAACCTGGAGTATATAATTATTTTTTAATTTAATGGAATTTGCTAGATCTATTTCTTTGGTTGAGATAATAACTTAAATTTGCAATGATGTCTAATTTCCCACCAATTTAACCAACTTAAAGATAATCTTTCAAAATTTCAAGCAATAAAAGTTACTATGACAAGATTGTAACACAACTCACAATATTTGAATGACAGGGCTTATTAATATATAGTTTACTTTTATTTATAAAATAAAGGGGAGGGTTATATAAATATTTACAGATTTTTTATTTATAAACTACACTGTATACTTCCGAAAGTACACTAGGTTATATTATGTACTTTCAGGAATACATAGTGTAATTTATAAAAATTTATAAGGAAAATTTTATAAACAAATTATTCTCCTAAAGTAAATATTCAAATTTTGCCAATTTAACAAACCCACGAAAGTTTTACTTTTGAGTTAAAATTATATATTTTGAAATAAAATCGAACAAAATTTATATAAAGCACGATATTAATATAAGGGGAATGATCTTTTTACATATTTTTTTTACAAATTACAATAAGTATGACCGGCCATATACTCTTGATTGAAGTATGATCGGTCATGCTCAGTATAATTTGTAAGAGTTTGTGAACAAAGAATTTGTAAATGTAACATTCCCTTTAATGCAATGCTTAATTTTTAAATTATAAAGTTAGTTTGGGATGTATGTAAACTAAATAAATATGTGACATTTAGGTACAAAAAAAATTGTCACATGTAATAAGGCATTATGAATTTTAAATTCACAGCTATATGCTCGTTTAAACACATAAAAAGATGATAAAAAAAAGCCCCACTCTACTGGTTGGATCTGCCCTGAGGCCTAGTAGGGTTTAGTAAAATAAAAACTTGTTAAGAAGATTTAACATATTAATTATGACAGTTGAGAATTATAAAAAAAATATTTAATTTAAGTTAAATTAAATAGTCGAGCTCAGCATTTATTTGATGAAGTGAGACCTACCAATGCACTGGATTGGTTTTTCCCGCTAAAATGCTTTTCTTTTGTCGTCACATTTTGTTTTTCCTTTCCTGACCTAAAACGAAAATCCATAAAACTTTTCCATTTCACTTTTATTTTTCAATTTGTCGACGGTGGTATCAAACCCAGACCAATGATCTCAATGGATCATCGGTTAAATTAGTAAGTCACTGATTCAATGACATGAATTAAATATATATAATAAATATAATATTAAAAGTATTTTAATTAATAAATAGAGTTAGTTTAGTAATAAGTGCTATAAGTTATAATCTATATGGTCTAGGTCTGAATCTCATTAATGTTATTTTTCAAATATTTTGTTCAAAATTTCATAAAATTAGATTTTTTAGAAAAATCGATACCAATTGAACCCGGACCAAGATTGATTCATCAGTTTCGTTTCTGTCGAACCGGTCAGGTCTGATTGGTTTTTATCAGTCACCAGTCATCACTTGTAAGTTGTAAATAGATATTTGGTGGGATTCCATTTCATGCTACGCCACATATTAGGGCTATTTGTTCATCCAAAAATATTAGTGGCTTCTTTTGACCCCTTTTTTCGCATTCATGTCAATCGCCACAATGTTGACTCGTTCTCCACTATGTTCTCTACCAATTACCTTTGTTCAATTTTGATCTGACACTTAAATTAGTCACCTTATTAAAAGAAAAGAAAAGCAATCTAGTGGTGATCTGTTGATTTTATTTTTCTGTAAAAAGAATTAGAACTATTTATTGCGCATTGGAAAACTCAAGCTCTCACGTATAAATTTAGCATTAGGAAATAGAAGGTAAAGTAAGAACAACAACATGGCATCTTTTATCCATAATCGCCTTCTCTGTTTCGTTCTGTCCCTGTTGATCATCCTCCCTCTTGCCCTTTCCTCTGTTCCTGAAGAAACATCGCCCCTGGTTCACCATGGGGGTCGTCTCCTCACTGGAAACTTGAACATTGGTATCTTATGGTACGGTCCCATTCCTAAGGCGCAGAAGAAAGCCATTCTGTCCTTCCTCAGGTCCCTTAACATCGATGACGCTGCTGCTGCTGACAAGAAACCTCAAGTCTCAACATGGTGGCACATTGTCGAGAGCTATCAAGCATTCGCCAAAACTCCAACACCTGGAACCCCCAGGATCCAAGTGAAGGTTGTGCACGAAGAGGTTGATCCAAATTACTCTTATGGCAAAGTCTTGATCAAAGATTTCATCAAGCCCCTCATCCCCAAGGCAACTGCTGGAAGATCAAACACCCTCGCTCTCATTGTAGCCTCCAACGGTGTCACAGTCCAAGATATGTGCGCTGGATCATGCGCCCAGCATGGTCTTATTGGTACGTATACCCATAGCCATATTTAATTCAAAATAATTATTTTTTGTTTAATTGGTTTAATCTTATACGTAAATCCACGTGGTAGATTAATTGGTTTCATTGATTAATAATGAATGTATATACAGAGGAGCAACCATATGTTGCTGTGGGGGACCCAGAAGAGGAGTGCCCTGAGTGTGCATGGCCATTCTTGCCGAGCCCAACCAAGCCGACGGGTATAATGAAACCACCGAGCGGGAACGTTGGAGCGGATTCGATGGTGATGTTATTGGCCGGTGGTTTGGCCGGAGCGGTGACCAACCCATACATGGATGGGTTCTACTCAGTTGCACGCGGAGAACATATCATCGAAGTCACAACCAAGTGCTCTGGTATTTTTGCAACCGGCAAGTTACCCGTGAACCCCGTTAATGGTGGAGTCTTCAATACTCATGGCGAAGAGGATACCAAGTTCTTGCTCCCTGCTCTGTGGAACCCCAAAACATCGTCCTGCTGGACTCCTTTGTAGAGCTTATTAATTACCCAGTTCCTTGCATCGCTCATCATTCCAAATATCAATGGATTTTATTTTATTTTTTAATTTTTTCTTTAGGAATTTAATACCCACATATCGGGTATGAAAATTCATTTCTTTGAATGTAGAAATTGTATTTCGAAGAACCTTTGTCCTCTTCTTCGAATGCAATTTGTTTACCATCACGTCCGAACGTGAGTTCCCTAGTCCTATTTTGTGTTTTGTGAAAGGACACCCAAGGGAACATTAATCATGTTGTTAATGAAATATTATTACCAGGCCTAGTGGGACGCGGTGTTACCTTGCGCATTTTTTAATATTACGCTCATTCTTAGATATGCGCTTTTTTGGGAAAAATTATACTTATTGTAAATTATGTTTTACAATCTAGTACAATTATGTTTTAATATTGTTGATTTCTGTCAATTAACAATTATTATTTATTGTAAATTAATAATTAATTAATAAATTTAATTTGCAAGTGACTTAAAAAAATCAAATAAAAAAAATCTGGATCGAGACATATATAATGAAAACGATTAATTTTTTTCCTTCTTTCTAATTCTTGGATCGATGTGATTAGGCCCAACTACGTGATCTAATTGGCAAAATCATCAAAGACATCATGGCATCCAGGGGACCTCAGCGTATCGTACGAATAAACTTTATCATATTTTAAAGGATTAAAATCATTCTTAAATTTCGTCTAAAACATGAAAACTTAATATATGTATTGGATTGAGATTTTAAACAATTTTAATGTATTACTTTTGGATAAAAAAATCAATTGGTATTTAATTAAGATTTTAAAGAATTATAACAAAAATCATATGGTATTCGATTAAGATTTAAAAAAAATTAGAGACCGTTCAAATCTGGTGGTATTGAAATTCTGACAATTTTAATAAATTTTCTATTAATGTGAATTTTGTGAGATTTTTTAATGATCCAAATATAAATAGTATGTCTCTCTCACAATCTCACCCTAATCCCTGAGATTTCTCTATTGTAATGCCTCACAATTTACCATAGCCTTTTTCTCAAAGCCAAGGTAACGAGGATGTCCTTTTTTTACTCTCACCTATTTTCTTTGATTTTATCATTCCTTCTTATGCTATTCTTCTTCATGATTAATTCATGATTTATGGTTGTACTTGTCGTTTCTAATGATGTGTTCCATTTTATTTATTTTTTTGATATATTTATCGTAACACTGGTAATACATTGACGATAAACATGTTTAATAAATAGTATATTGCTGATAAAAATTTCTCAAGACTTTTTATGCACCATATTAGGCACACAATAAGAGACAAAATTTTAATATTTATTTGTTGAATAACAAGAAAAAGAAATTATTGTTGCTATTACATAACTTGCTTTCTTCACTGAGTTAAAAGATAATGAATGCAAGTTACTGTTTAACAAGATAATGAGCAGAAGAATAATGCCCATTGCATAGTACATATGCCAATTTTGGAGAGAAAATGTATCCAAATGTGTTCCGTAAGTTATGCACAATTCTTAAAGAAAAAAACCTTTGGAGGATACAAGATTTATTTCCATTGAAGAAATGCTTGCATCATTCTTACAAATTGTCAGCCAAAATACTCGATATTGTGTAATTTGTAATACATTTGGCCGATCACATTGATGCAAGTGAAAAATTTCACAAGATTTTGAAGGCCTTAAATCTAATATCATATGATTTGATGGCTAAATCGGGACCTACTGTGCCCACTAAAATAAGGGATAGCACAAGGTTTTACCCTCATTCCAAGGTATGCAATAATTATCTAATCATAATAATATTATATTTTAATTGTCATTACTATAATATTTTTATATATAGCTATTGATAGTACACATATTCCTATAATGGTGAGGGAACGAGATGTAAGCAGTTATCGTAATCGTCATGAAAAAATTTCACAAAATGTATTTGTAGCTTATAACTTTTATTTTGAATTCATGTATGTTCTTAGTGGATAGGAGGGTTCAACTCATGATTCCAAGCTGCTAAGTGATGTTTTAACAAAGAAGAGTAAACTTGAAGTGCCCCGAGGTAAGTATTTATTTTTTAAATAATAAATATTTTTTTAAAATTTCATACTAATTTTATATGCATTGTATATAATTTCATAAATATTTCCTAGTAGATTGTGGATTTCTCAATTGACGCCATTTTTTAGCTTCATTTCGAGGTTATGGTAATGACCCTCAATGCAAACCAATTGTTCAATATTCGTATTGCATCATTTAATGTAATTGAGAGGATATTTGACATTTTCAAAGCACGGTTCACAATTTTTAAGTCAGCTCCTTCGTCTCCATTTAAAACACGAGCAGAGCTTGTTTTAGCATGTGTAGCACTACGTCACATTCTCGCTACGCCAACAAGCGAGATTATCACATCTGCAAAAAGTTGTCCACATAGCTAATCTCGCTGGGCTGCCCAATGAGAATAAGTGTACCTTTTTCCACGTGTCAGCATCCTGGCCTATCTCGCTAGACTGCCCAGCGAGGATAGGTGTACCTCTTTCACGTGTCAGCACCCTAGAATATCTCGCTACAATGTGGGGAGCGATTTGTGGTTTGAAGACATTGCCACGTGTCCAATCCAGTCTCAGTTGTTGGCATAGCGAGAATATGACGTGACATTTTAAAAAAATTCATTTATTTCATAGCATAATGATAATTAATATTCAAAAAAGTGTCACAAGGGTCAATGTCCCGTTTGCGTGGGTTTCTCAATTCTGAAAATTTCTTCACTACTCTATTAGTACGAAGATTTTTGAAATAAAATAATTCACTTGATTATATTTATTTTTTCTATTTAAGTAATATCTCGTTTATTTCTCCACCTAATAAAGGGGTTCGTGTTGCAAGGACAATTCTAAATTGAATGGATACACTGGCAGTGAGATTTATTTACTAATTTGTTTTAGGAGAGTATTATATTTATAAATTTTTTATTTCCAAACTCTTATAAATTTCACTATATATTTTTAGAAAAACACTAGGTTACATTATGTTCTCTCGAGAGTAAATAATGTAATTTATAAAAATTTATTAAAAAATTTTATAAATGAATCATTTCCCTTTGTTTTAAATGAATAATAGTCATGATTATGGATAAATTTTCAGTACTTCTTTACTGCAAATTTAGTTTTACACGGTTTACAAAAACATTACTCATTTATACGTATTTGAGTATCTAATAATACTGAATTTTTACAATGAATTAATATTTTTTCATGTTATATGAGAAGATATTATTCTTCTACATAAATAATAAATATGTGAATCTTATTAAAAAAAAAATTCTCTTTTCAATGGGCTCATATATTTATTGGGAAAAGTGTCTATACTTTTAAATTACACAACTTACATCATTTCACTCTCACAAAGAGGTGGGACCCACAACTTTATTTTTTTTTGTCAACTCTCTCCTCCTTTATCTATCTCTTTCCCTCTCTTAAAATGACACAACTTTACATCCTTTAAAATTATACACACTTTTCCCATATTTATTATGTATAAAAGAAGAATATATTTTGAAATGAGATGAGAAGATATTAACTCTTTCACAACATCATTGCGATAAGAAATCCTTTCCATTATGAATGGTCTTGAACATTTTGCTAACATGCCTTGTGTATACGTCACAAATCACAAGGCATACCTTCACGACATTTTGCTGGGGAGCAGTTGAACATGTACAGATTCTAGTAGTTTAGTACCTTCCCCAATGTAAGATTATAATTTCCATGCTCGGTCAAATCTGTCATCATTTAATACTTTGGCATTTATATATTTTCTACTTGAGCAAGTTGAAATTCTTAAAATGAAACTGAGCCACAATATATATATATCAAGCTAAGAAACTTCATTCAACCAATTGTGATTCTTTTAAGTGTCGAGACAATTATGCCCCTCGCCCCCTCCTTTTTTCTCTAAAAGAATGAAAATTAAAATACCTACGTTACGTGCGGCTAGACTCTTGGTTGGTATATAATATATAAGTATGAAATGGTAGCTGCGAATTTAAACCTCCACAGCTCTAAGCCTCACCTTCAACTCCTACAATCATTGAAAATTATTTGGGTCTGTCTTTGTGTTGACTAATAACAAATGGGCACTGAGTTCCCACACGTTTCCACCGCCACTAAATGGCTGGGCTTCGTGACGGCGGTGTGGATTCAAGCAATCTCCGGCAACAACTATACTTTCCCCAATTATTCCGATGCTCTGAAATCCCTCATGCATCTCACCCAGATACAGCTCAACAGTCTCTCTGTGGCTAAAGATATTGGCAAGGCTTTTGGCATACTTGCTGGCCTTGCCTCCGATCGATTCCCAACCTGGGCTATTCTGCTCATAGGCTCCGTCGAAGGCATCATCGGCTATGGATTTCAGTGGCTAGTTGTCAGTCAAAGAATTCAACCCCTTCCCTATTGGCAGGTAATCAACATTATTGCCTCAGCAATTCTATTATGTGTTAGGGTTCGGTCCTTATTTGCTCAAATAAATAAATAAATAAATAAATAAATACAGATGTGCATATTTCTGTGCATGGGGGGAAACAGCTCATCCTGGATGAACACGGCGGTTATAGTCACTTGCATACGAAACTTCCGCCGTAACAGAGGCCCCGTTTCCGGCATTCTCAAAGGGTATGTGGGGTTGAGCACCGCCATATTCACTGACCTATGCTCTGCTCTCTTCGCCAACGACCCTGCTTCCTTCCTCCTCATGCTGTCTCTAGTCCCCTTCGTCGTTTGCCTCGCCGGCATCTTTTTACTCCGTGAGGTCCCTCCTGCGAATTCCACCGAAATCCAAGACAAGGAAGAGTCAAGGTATTTCGGCCTTTTCAACGCCGCCGCCGCCGCCGTTGCCGTTTACCTCTTGGCTTTTGGCTTCGTGCCCAATCCTAGCACTTTGTTATCTCGGGTATTCGCCGTCGTTTTGCTCCTCCTGTTAGTGGCGCCGTTAGGGATTCCGGTCTACTCTTACTTCAAAGCCCGCGGATCGGACCGGTTCAAACCGGCCCTGGATATGGAGGGACGGGTGAATGAAGCGTTGCTTCCCAGTCACGACAGGGGAAAAGAAACCGAGGCGGAAAGAGTGAAGGAATCAGCACAGGACACGGAGGCGGCGGTGATGATTGGAGAAGAACACACCATAGTGGAGGCGCTTAAAACCGTGGACTTTTGGATCTTGTCTGTTTCTATGCTGTGTGGGGTTGGAACGGGTTTGTCCGTTATTAACAATATGGGCCAAATGGGGTTGGCGCTTGGTTACTCGGACGTTTCCATCTTTGTATCCTTGATCAGTATTTGGGGCTTTTTCGGTCGGATCATTTCGGGTTCCGTTTCTGAGTACTTCATCAAGTAAGTCACATTCCAACTCCAACCCCCTTCTTGTGTGAAACGAATTTAATATTGTATTATAAAATGTCTGGCGTTCTCTTCTGTCTATTTCATTTTGTACCTCTTCCTGCTTCCTTTTGACTTTCTTTTTGTAGTGACTACTGACTAGTGAGTTGTCCCAAAGATAAGTTACTTGCAATTTATCGGGTCTATTTCATTTTTATCTTCAAAGTAGTTTTTTGATTTTTAAAATAAAAAAATTTGTTGATAAGATTTGTTTTATAAAAATAATTCTAAATATTATAACTTTTTTTATTTTTAAAATTAAATTTAGAGAGTTTGTTTTTATATTTTTTATATTTTTGACTTTTAATTTTGAAAAAAATAATACATAAAATACGTTGTGTGTTTTTAACTAGCATTGTGTTTTTTTTTAAATTTCTCCTATATTTGCACGTTGCAGGAAAGGTGCAACTCCTAGACCTCTTTGGAATGCAGCGTCTCAAATTCTGATGGCCGTGGGATACATATTACTCGCAATGGCTGTGCCCGGTTCACTTTACATAGGGTCTGTTGTAGTTGGCTTATGCTACGGAGTCCGAGTCGCCATTACTGTCCCGACAGCCTCTGAGTTATTTGGCCTCAAATATTATGGTCTCATGTACAACATTCTAATCCTTAACCTTCCCCTTGGCTCTTTCCTCTTTTCTGGTCTGCTTGCTGGCATACTATATGATATGGAGGCAACTCCCACCGCAGGAGGAGGCAACACTTGTGTTGGAGCTCATTGTTACAGACTAGTATTCATAATCATGGCTGCATCTTGTATTGTTGGGTTCTTCTTAGACATTCTATTGTCAATCAGAACCACGAAGGTTTACGACAAGATTTCATTGAGCAAAAAAAACCAATACATCCTCGATGACATCAAGTAGTCGATGACCGGGAATGCCACGTATATAAGATGGTATCATAGTCCTTTGATTGACAGGCTTTTTGCTCAGTAATATCCTAATTTCCGCCAATATGCCTAACACTCAATGACATGGTTAATTTTTTTGGTATTAAAGGTGGGCTATTTCTTTGTGCTTCCTTTTTCAGTGCTCTGAAGCATAACCTGCCTTCCGCCTCTGTTGTCTCAGTAGTTGTTTTTGAATATATGTTTCCAAGAAACGATGTGAATTCTTATAGTAACAATTTGAATGAATACTTTTATTTCTTTTAGATTGAAATATTTTGCATTTTGGTATCTGTTGAACTCAATGAACTGGCGTTCTACGATTTTAGGTGTGAAAAGTATTTGATAGACTTTACTCGTATTTCATCACAATTATTATTATTTTTCTCCCTGCAATCTTTGCCCTACTGTGGACAAAAAGTTTTGTACAAAAGGTAGTGAGGGATAGACAAGCTAGAAAGTATACCTGTCTAGGCACTAGTGTCTAGTATAGGTCCAATGCTGATTGACCAAATGAGGGAAAAACATTTAAAAAATAAAAAAGATATTTATCTAGTTGAAGATGTGTATTAGATGTTATTTCACATATTTTTCAACATTCATGTAATATTCAGTACTCAATACTAACTCAGCAAAATTAAAAAAAAAAATTAATTCACTTTTCTATTTGTAATATCACATGAATTCATTTAATTTGAATTATAATTACTTCTAATTTTAATGAGGGAGTATCTGATATAAAAATTTACTCCCTTCAGGACATCACTTAATAGTTGAGAAATTATTATCTTCATTTTAAAAAAAATATATATACACAAATTTTCATGAGATTTTATCTAAGCAAATATTTCCATATGCCTTTACTTTAAGATATCATAAACCACTCTAGAACATGAATTAGTTGAGTATTTTTCGTGGAATGGATCTCACATGTCTTTAATGCGCTTCCCTTCCTATACGCCAACAATTCACCTTGAATTCGAGGATTTATTGCCACAATCGATCATCGCTATCAATCACATCACATCCATAACTTTTTCCTTGCGCAATAAATACTATGTCTAGTTCCACGCCCCACACTAAATACTCCAAAGACTCCCACGCCACTCAAATATTTCGCACCACGTAGCTAGTGCCAACAATTATTCAATTTTAAGAGTATCTGATACAATACATCCCCAAATTTCAAAATTTCCCATCAAAATCAACAAATCATAAAATATCTCTCCAATTTCCAAACCCTCAAACCACAGCCCCACCGACTCCTACCTAATCTTAATTTCATTTTGAAAACAATTAACCAGATTTAAGTCACGCACGCTTCTTCAAATTGAAACAGGAATTTATTGCTTGTTTGGCGTCCTCTGTTTCTGGAGCAGAGTCGCTCTGTGTTTTGCAGCTCGGCATTTATTCTTCATGATTTTTTCATGGTGACTGCGTTTGACTTTCTTCATAGCAGGTAGAACTTTTAAACTGAGATTATGTATGTCAATGCTTTGCTGCGTACCTGACAACAACACTTTTGTTCAATGACATAGAACTCAATAATTGAGTTTCAGATCCTAAGCATTTCAGTTTCTTTGGCATTTGGAGTGGTTTCACACCAATGCGAATAAAGAGAAAGTTTAGTCTTAAAAAAAAAAAAAAAAAAAAAAAGTTTTTATTTTATTTTTTAAGGAAAAAATGTTTGTTTTTAAATGACACAACTTATATCTTTTCACACTCACAAAGAGAGACCCACACCTTTATATTTTTTTTGTCTACTCTCTCCTCCTTTATCTATCTCTTTCTCTTACTTAAAATGACACAACTTTACATCCTTTAAAATCATAGACACTTTTCCCTTTTTTTTAAACGCCCCGTAGAGATAGATAGTAGCTAGCTTAGCGCATTTCATCTCTGTTTTAATAATGGTTTAAAAACTTTGCAAAAAAATTAAAATAATTTTAAAAAATAGGTGATTTAGTTCTATAAATTTTTTCAATTAAATTAGTAGAAATTTATATTAGAATAATCTTGAACAATTCAGTAATCATCTGAAAAAAAATTGAGAAGTAGGAAAAAAATCCACAATTTCAATTTGAATACCTCTATTAAAAAACATTCATTATAATAAGTTAAACTTAATTCAAATTACAAGAATAAAAAAAAAATCCAACTTTATATAAGAATTCACACAAATGTGTCTCTAGATTCATGCACACAAGTTATCAACATATAACTACTCCTCTATCGTATACTATTCAAACTTTTCAAATCAAACAAAACCCAAACCTTCTAAAACTTTTATACTAAAAAAATGTATGAATTAAGTGAGGGTTTATCAAATTAACTTTTCTTTTCTCAAATTAAAATTATATCTTCCAAAATTCATTTAGACTACAAGAAAATTTTTCAATCTTCCTTAGTTTTTAAAATTTTAAAATAATGTAACCCAGATATAATCAAGATTAATCTCACCCACTTATTATATGAAATCTAATATTTTATCTTTCATATTCAATCTTCTCGATTTCATAAAACAATTTTATTGCATTCACACAAAAAAAACACTTTCAAAAATTCAAAAAATACAGTTATATGATATTATCTCACTTGTTGGTTGTTATATAAAATAAAATAAAAACCAAGGTGTGGCCAAAAAGAAACACAAAATCCCCATCTCCAATCTATTTCTTGTTGAACTTTACTAAAGCGTTGGTAGGCCCAGTATCATCTCAATCCACACATGGGCCGGCGTGTAAACTAAATAGGGTTTTAAAGTATTGTTCCAAATACCAGAAACCTAATCACAGAACAAGGGAAGGTGTAGCAGATCAGCCCACCACGGATAGGCCAAGACGTCAACGGCAAGCCCCAACACGTCTAATGGACTATGTCACGTGACAGGCCCAACCATTAGTAGCATTTAATTTAGTTTCAATAAAATAGCAATTGCTTTATTAGATAAAGTTGTTATTCCAGTACTTATTTTTAGGACTTAGTTGTTAATGCTTATTTTTAGGATAAGACGTTCCTACCTTTCAGCAATTTGAATTCTAGATTAGGATTTGCAATTCCTTTAAATATGAAAAATCAATCACTCAATGGCATGAGTTATTTGGCAAAAGTCTTATCTCCCTCTCTCTCAGTTCCTCTTTCTCCTTTCAAATCCCCCTTCTCTATACTCCCTAATTACGTCCTTACATTTTGGTGCTTTCATCCTTGTGACTCACCTCCATGGCTGAAAAAACTCGTATGGCGCAGATGCAGGAACAGATCAATATGCATGAGGAAAGACAGAATACCTTCATCGCCTCGATTGAAGAAAGGCAACAAGCCTTCCTCCTTCAGGTGCGCGTAGCAATCAGGAGCAAATGAATACCATGATGGAACGGTTTCAAACGGAGATGGCCAATTTCATGGAAACTCACCGAACGAACGCAGCAACAAGCAGCGTCCTCGGAGCTCACCCTGGACGGCCGGAAACCACCCGCCCAAAACCAATCCGACTGGATTTCCCACGCTTTGCCCAAGGAGATCCCACCGACTGGCTATTTGTAGTTGATCAATATTTTGATTATTATACTGTCACAGAACCTGAGCGATTAAAACTTGCATGCTTCCACTTGGACGCACCAACCTCTAGTTGGTACCGCAATCTATCCCGTGAAAGACTGATTGCGAATTGGAGGGACTTTCGCACAACAATAATCAGCAGGTACGGACCCACCATTTATGAAGATCCAACAGGAGCTCTATGCCGCCTTACCCAAACTGGTACCGTGCGTGAATATCAAAACACATTTGAAACTTTGTCTAGCAAAGTCAGTGGAATACCAGACGGCCTAAGGAAGAGTATGTTCATCTCGGGCCTAAAACCTAAGGTCCGTGGCGACGTACAAGCACACTTACCAGAAACATTTCACGCAGCATGGGGCCTAGCCAGAAACTTTGCAGAGGCAGAAGATCGCACTGTGCGCTGGGGACAACGCTCACAGACCACAAATACATCCCAATCACCCAAGCAGCCCACATCCCAACCAACACCATTACCAATAAAGCGTTTATCCCAAACAAAGATGCTAGCACTAAGAGAAAAGGGGCTCTGTTATAACTGTGATGAAAAGTATGTTTTTGGGCACAAATGCAAATCAGGATCAGCATTTATGTGTATTCTAGTTGAGGAAGAAGAACTGGAGGCTGACAATATACCGCCTCAAGAGACCATTCCAGATTTACCCACATCCCCAGAAATCAGTTTTAACGCTCTCTTTGGTCACCACTCAACCAAAGCATTTTGTTTAACTGGTACAATAAAAGGTACTTCTGTCCAAATTCTGATAGACAATGACAGCACCCATAATTTCATCACAGAACGGGCCGCTAGTCACATAAAACTACCCATCCAATCAATTAGCCCATTCAAAGTTCAGGTTGGGAACAGAGACAATTTATACTGTAAAGGAATGTGCACCAAGGTACGCATTACGCTACAGAAACAACATACCTTTGAAATTGATCTCTTCGTTTTGGACCTACAAGGCGCGGATGTCGTACTCGGGGTGCAATGGTTATCAGCATTGGGACTAGTGACCACAGACTACCAACAATTGACCATGACCTTTACCAATCACTCACAATCCATTACTCTTCAGGGAAACACTACCTTCACTCCGTCAGCCATAACCAACTCCCAACTAAACAAACTAATTGCCAATGAACCCATACAAGCATACCTAATGTGCTTGTCAGTCACCCCACACCAACCCAACAACGACCATTCACTTCCTGTCCCACAATCCATATCCCCAATTCTTGACCGTTACACTGACGTCTTCAACACCCCAACCCATCTCCCACCACATCGTCCAACAAACCACCACATACACCTCCTCCCTAATACCAAACCAATTCAGGTGCGTCCCTACCGATACCCACATTACCAAAAGAATGAAATCGAAAGGTTGGTCTCTGAGATGCTCAAAGAAGGAATCATACGGCCAAGTCATTCAGCCTATAGCTCCCCAGTACTGTTGGTAAAAAAGAAAGATGGTACTTGGCGTTTTTGTGTGGACTACAGAGCTCTAAATGCAATAACAGTACAGGATAAATTCCCAATACCTACTATTGATGAACTGCTTGACGAATTACATGGTGCCTCAGTTTTTTCAAAACTGGATTTACGTTCGGGGT